TGGGGGAGAGTTTTACTTACAGGAAGGCTTAAGGAGGCTCTAGAGCCCCAGAAGTGTGATAAGATCAGGTCTTCAAGGATTTTTAGCCTGACCCATGTTGGCAATAGTGGAGCTTGTGAGCATGGGGGGTCTATGATTTTGTCTTGAGAGATTGTTCACTTAATTTCTAAGTGCTGAGGCATGGGCCGGAGGCACTGACAGGGCCCCCTCAAACCGTACCGGGTTTCTAGGTGGGGTGAGCTCTCATCTGCAGGGGCTGGCCTAGGAGATCCGGGCATTGCTCCGCCTGCCCACCAGTGACACCTGGGGAAAAAGCAAATGCCTGAGACGTGAGTTCGGAGACCATCTGGACAGGTGAGACATGAACATATACAGCAGCAGTGGTGAAAACATGACAGTGTCTCATGAAGAATGACATTGGGCAGGAAGAAGTGACTGAATTCAGAGACCCAAGGTGGTCTGGCTTCTTGGACCCAGGTGGGCCTGGGCTGGGCCTTGAAAGATGGGCAGGATCTGAGATTGCTCCGGACAGAGGGCAAAGGAGGATGGGTCCCTCCATGGTCTGGGGCCACATGAAGGCCTGGCTAATTGGCATTCCTTCTGGCCATCATCTGCAATGGCATGGGCACTGGCAGGCCCCGTCTCATACAACTTCAGAAACAAGATTCTGCCTGGGCCTTGCAGGGATGGACGCTTCTCATTCTCTGGCTATTGAAGTGCTTCTCATTTTGGCACCTCTCTAGCATTTCATGCCACAGCGTCTTACCGTTACAGAGCAGACATTCCTGAGGGCAGGTCCATAAACCTGCTTAGGATCATAGCAGTTTCACGCTACTCCCAGAAGCCCATTCACAGGCCTCAGTGGGAGCTTCCAGTGAGCCAGTTGTTGCTCTCCTCTCCTCTCTTCCCAAAGGCCTGACCCTCGGTGTTCCTGCTCCTTTCCTGGGTGGGGGCTGGAGGGGTGTGCTCCTCCAGCTGCTGCTAGCGGTGAGCCGTGAGCAGCAGAACCATCTTGGTTCTGGAGCTTTGCGCGGAGAGGACAGCTGGCTCACATCACTGAAGGGTGCAGATGAGAGGCTTGGTGTCAGGGACAGCTGGATGTCTTTGTGTGTGAGTGAAGTCTTCACTTCCCACTATCCCCTCCCTCCCCTCTCTCCTATAGCCTCAGGTCCTTCTCCCCTGGAGGCCCTAGACTGCGGATGCAACTGAGGAACTTCCTTCTCGGGCTCAGCAGGCTGCACCCTGGTGGGAACCAGAGTCCTGTGCTGCTTTCATGGGCAGGATTGGGTCGTGTGTGCTAGGCATCATCACTGCACAGTTGGGGGCCCAAACCAAACACCAGATTCACTGCCATCGAGTCAAAACTGGCTCAGAACAACCCTATAGGACAGGGCAGAACTGCCCCCGGGTGTTTCAGAGACTGGAACTTGACGGAGTAGAAAGCCTCATCTTTCTCCCACAGAGCGGCTGGCGGTGGAGGCTGCTGACCTGGCAGATGGCAGCATAAGCACCACACCCCCAGGGCTCGCCCAGTGCCAGGCTGCAGCAGCAGGCCTCTTCCCAGCTCGCCGTCCGGCTGGGGTTGTGTGCTTAGCCTTCCAGCGTAGGGCTGCTGGTGCTTCTCCGCCTACCTCCAGTCACACCTGGCCGCAGTGGGACCAGGGGAGACATGAGCCCCAGCATGCCCTTTCCTGCCTCCTGGGGCATGGCTTCCATCGTCTAAGGGGCAGTGGGAGAAGGACAGCGTGAAGGAAGGCCTGCTTCAGGTTTCTGCGGGTCCGACAAGGCAGGCAGGGCAGGGTCTTCTGGGACTAGAAATGCACCAGGTGGGACAATGCCGACCCCGGGCACCTCCTGGCCACTCTCTTCCCAAGACACACCTGCGAGGAGAGTGTGCTTCCTGCCCAAGGCTGTGGATCCTTTTCCTTGCCACTGCCTAGACCCCGGTCTGACTACAGAGCAGAGTTTCCTAGAAAGAGACCCACCGTCCCCTTCATCCTCAGAGCCCATCCCTTAGGTGGCTGAGCTACATAGAGACGCTTTACCTGGCACGGATGCAGGTAACTGTGGGCTGTGACCTACCGAGTCTTCAACAACTTGCCTGCATCGGCCACGGTGGGGAAGCTGGGAGATTTTCTACAGCAGTTGGATTTCTGGCGTCTCTAGATGCCACCTTCGTGTGACAGCAGGTGGCCCAAAGTGGGGAGCGGCTGTCAGAATCAGATGGGGCGTGGCTCGCAAACTGGCCGTAGCCCCTCCTGCTTCCCGCTCCTTGTAGGCTAGGCTCCCCCAGCAGCGGACCCTGAGATGAGGCGTGGAGGGCAGGTAGCTCACTTGCCAGGCTATCCGTTAAAGCACAGGCAGGAGTAGGAGGAAGATGGGAGGAAGAAAGTCACTGTCCTTACACCCAGAGCAGCCTCTACTTGGGGGAATTGGGGGGCTCAGTCTGGGGGCTGGTGGGGGCAACTCTGTGTGGCACCTCTCAGGAGAAGAACCACCCACTGCTGTCTGTCTCTCCTGAGTACTGCCTGCTGGAGCCTGAGCTTCCTCGGATGGGCACAAAGACACAGGCACAGGTCTTGCATTAGGAAGACTGTGGAGTGTCTAAGGCAACAGGGTTCTCAACCTGTAGGTAGAACAACCTTTTCATAGGGGTCCCCGATTCATAACAGTAGCAAAATTACCGTTATGAAGTAGCAACGAAAATAATTTGATGGTTGGGGGGTCACTACGACATGAGGAACTGTGTGAAAGGGCCGCGGCATTAGGAAGGTTGAGAACCACTGGACTCTAAGGAGCCTTTAGTGGCATAGTAATTATGTGTTGGGCTGCTAACCACAAGGTAAGCAGTTCGAAACCACCACTGCTCGCAGGGAGACAAGTGAGGCTTTCGACTCCTATAAACAGTTATGGTCTCAGAAGCCCAAGGGGGCAGTTCTACCCTGGCCTATGGGGTCACTGTGAACCGGAATTGACTCCCTGGTATTGAGTGAGTGGGGTGCATACTACCGGAGGAGGGACAAACAGCGTCTGCCCCCTGGGTCCACAGGCCCCTCCCACTTCAGTCCTTGCTTGGGGCTTTGTTCCAGGGCAGGCTTTTCTAGCCCTTTGACCCGGGCCACATCCCAGCCAGGGCGCGTGACAGATGCCTGGTGACTCATCCTCACAGTCTCTTTCTCTTCCTCCTCCATGTCTCCACCACCCTCGGCTCCTCATTCCTGGGAGGCTGGGGCCTCCCTGGATGCCTCACTCGTCCATTTTATTTTATTTAGTTATTTACTTATTTATGTGATTATTACATATCTAGTTCCAGGGAAAATGTAGGACTTCTGCACAGGTCATTAATTGCTTCAATGCAGGCTAGACACAGAGTCAGACTGGGGAAGAAGGATGGGAAATACTGTCCTTGGGGACCCCCTCACCCAGGAAACCTGGGACATAGGAACTTGGTGGCTGGCCGTGGGTTCCACCCCCTGCACCCCTCTCTTAGGCCCATCCACGAAGACATCAGGCTCCCACAGGGAGTCCTCTGGGCCAGCAAGGTGGGGAGCCAGGGATGGAAGTGATCAGGTGGGCAGCCTTTCTCCTTCTCCGCTCTCCCTCTCCCTGCAGGACGAACAGCAGGTAGCCCAGCTGACATAGGGCAGGGCCTGGGCCCAGGGACTTCCCTCACAGCACCCGGCAAACCCTGGGCCACCAGTCCCCCTTCACCGCACCCTCCTCTCAGCAGCACTGCCCCCACCCTGGTTCTTTGTGGGGGCACAGAGCGGGCCCTGCGTCCAATGAGATGTCTTGTCATAAAGCTGCCCTCGGGGCCCAGCGTGCTTACAGTCCAACTCCTCCTGAGAGAGAGAGCTGCCAGCGGGCAGCTGGATCACCACCACCACCTGGAAAAGGGGGTTCTGCTTCTGGAAGTCTCAACTTCCTGAGGGCAGTGGCTGCAGGCCAGCCTTCAGAATGCTCGCCTAAGATGCTCCCGCCAACCCCCATCAATTAGTCCTGTGGAGTGGACAAAGGGGGTTACAGGAAATGAATTTCATTTGGGTTCTGTCTCTTGAGGCCGGCCTGGCAGCGGCTTACTCAACACCCACATGTCCGCAGCCCAGCTGCCCGTCCGTCAGCTCTTGTCCGAGGTAACTATTCATTTTATGTATTTTAATTTGGGCAGAACATTTATTTGGCTCAAATTTCCTTTTCAGGGGTTGGAATGTGCCTTCCGCACACAGGCAGAGATGAGCCGCTAGAACTCCGTCAGCAGGAGTCTAGTTTGCAAAGATAGTAACTGAGCTATTAAAACCAACAGCCCCTTTTAAAGCAAACAGACCATTAAAATATGGGAACAGTTTATGGCTTAAATAAAATCGAGGATATAGATTATTTAAAGATAAGATTTTCAAGGAACAGAGATTTAAAAAAACAAAACAAAAACGTTGAAATAATTTCTCCGTATTTTTTCCCCCCTAAAGTGAACTTCAAAATGCAAACTGAAATTGAGGGGGGGAAATACGTCGAGAAAGCCATTAAAAATCCATCGGAGTAGTCAAAACGTACGGCAGAACTTGACTTCTCCTCCCTGGTCGGTAGCTGATGTCTAGGGGCGGCGAGTGGCAGCCCCTGGAATCCAGAAATGGCAGCGCTGATCCGCTGCTGACGGCGCACTGTGGGGAAAGAGGCACGATTGGCTCCTAGACCATTCTCTGGAGCTGCCTGACAGACACAGTGATTCTGTCCATCCGTCCAGCCCATTGTCTTCCTGCGGCACAGAAGTACTGTATCTGGAGGTAGATTTCCATTGCTATGCATATTTTAAGGGTTATTTGGCAACACGAGTAAAGCTAAAAGTAGCCTCTTAATCTAATTAATTGACATTTCTGAGTCTTGCTTTCACAACAACACATGGTTTCATGTTCTGGGTTTTAGCACTTGTCAAGCTTTTTTGGAGAATGTTTTGGTCAGAATGACAAGATAATTTGTGACTGAGGCTCCAAGCTAGAGAAGTGTTTAAGGCTATAATGATTTATTATCATCACAGAATAACAAAATTTACAAAGTGTTTCATCAGAATTTTTGAAATCAGTTTGCCACCATGGGAGAAGCCTGAGGGGGCGAGGGGGTGGGCTGGGGAGGGAGACGAGGAGGGCTCGGCCTCCATATACAAACCCAGCCATGACTGATGGGGGAACATTTCACCGGGAAATTCATCTCCTCGCAGCCCCCGGTGGAGGCACCTCGGAGCAAGCACTTCAGCAGGGCCAGCGAAGGAGAGAGGGCCGGCGCTGGGCCCTCTGCCTCCGCTTTCCTCCCCAGGCAGCCCGGCCTCGGCTCCACTCACAATGTATACGGGGCTGCCGTTGACGCTGGCTCTCCACATTTTGGCAGCGGCCACAGTGAAAGTAGTCACACTATCTATAGAAACTTCGAGATGGAGAACACTTGGAGGATGCTACTGAAAATGCAAGAGACACATTTTTGAAAGGATGAAATAATATCACTGAGTGACAGTAAATTAACATGCTGACATTTGCAGACTTTCAGAGCATTGCCATAAAAAGCAGTAATACAACATGACTAATTTGGACCTCGTCTCTCTGCCTTCCTTGGGAGAGACAGCCCTGCCCCTCCCAGGCCACCCTCCAGGCTTGGCGCAGCAGCCACTTCCTCTGCTTTTCCAGGAAACACTTGGGATTTGAATGCGCCCTTACACACCTTTCATGCCAGAAACCAGGCTTGGATTCCTGGCCAAGGCCTCTCCCGTGCATCCGCCACCTGTCTGTCAGAGGAGGCTCCCGTCCAGTTCAGACGCCTCACAGGTTTCTGTAGAGCTCTGGGCTGAGACACATAAGGAAGAAACGTCTGGAAATTGATCGGCTGCCACAAATCGGCTGACGGAAGCCCTGCGAGTTAGAACACCTGATTGGGAATGAATCCCAGGGGTGGGGCAGGGCCAGGCAGTGTGCAGCTGGGGTGGCCAGGAGTTGGGGGCTCCCTGGAGAGCAGCCAGAAACGAGGGCAACCAGCTCAGATGCAGCCTCTCAGAGACTCTGTGGAGAGTGTGGTCTCACCTGTGAGCTCAGAAGAGGCTCTTTTGAGTGCCATTAATGCCCACCTTTTAGGGCCATGTGTGTCAGCCATCCAGTACAATCTGAGCCCCCACAGACTGTCTGCCTGTGGACTACTTCAGGGGACCCTTGGGGGGCCGTGTGGTCCCTGCGGCAGTCATGCACAGAGGGCAAGACCAAGCTACAAAGCGGCTTCCAGGACCAAGAGACCAATCTGAGCAGTGTTCTGAGGGACGGAGGACACCCGGCCTGTATTTGAAATGAGCCTTCTGCTATTGGGGTCCAGGCGGTGAGGGCCCACAGAAAGTGCAGTGTAAACATTTGCTAAATTAACAAATACGTGAGGTGAGCAGATTTCCCCCAAATGTCTCCTCACAAGCCTTTGCACCCAAGCTCACGGCTTCCGTATGAAGTGCTAACACAGCCTGCTTCTCCTAGCCTCGGCCACCTGGGCTCCTGAAGCGAGAGTCAGTTCTCCACCTGGAAAAGGATGCTCATTTTCAAGAGTGGCACTCCCCAGGCACGCGTCCCCACACCCCCGGTCCACCAGCTTGTCATACAGAAATCACTGTGGCACTGAAAGCAGTGCCATTAGTATTTCAAACACCAGCAGGGCCATTCTTGGTGCGCAGGTTCATGAGAAACTTCCGGGATAAGACTAGGAAGAAAGGCCTGGTGACCAACTTGCACAAAGTGAGCCAAAGAAAACCCTGTGGACCTCAGCAGCATACAGCGGTGCTGGAGTGCTGGAAGAGGAGGCCCTAGGCACAGGGGCTGCCACAACACAGGAAAGTGGAAGGTGGTGCAGGGTGGGATGACCCTTGGTTTTGTAGGACATGGGGTCACCCTGAGTCAGAACCAGTTTGACAGCAGCCCAACCCTGACAGCAATGGTCTTCTTGCAGCCTAACTCAGTGCCTGGCCCACAGCAGGTACACCACACACATGTATTTTCTCCCATCCCAGGATCCCCTTCATTGCTGCTGTTAGGTGTCTCTAGGGAGTCTCTTGCTCTTCTGGATGAAGCCTACCTAGAGATGAATTGACTCTCCTACAAACGGCGCCCTGGAGAAACCTGAGAAGCGGACCTGCCGGCTTGGGTATCCTCACATGCGCAAGGGGAGCCTCACTCTGGGAGTGGTCCCGGGCCTGCATTGTGATCTAGACCTGACACTGCCACACCTGATGCAGCGCTATCTGCCTACCTGGCCTGAGGCTGGGCTCTGAGGACAAGAGCGTGATGACCAGACATGGTCACCATGTGTGTATGTGACAGTGCCTCAGATGGAGCAGAAGGAGAGAGGCACCCAGGCTCCAAGTCAGTCGGAAGCAGCAGCAGCAGGAGCGAGTGCACCCGGCCGGCCGCCGCTCTGGAGCTGAGTGTGGCGTTCAGCCTGCAGAGCCAGGTGTCTGTGTCGCAGGAAGTTAAGTGGAGATGCCAGCACAGGACAGGACGCAAGTGCATCCTGCAGACCAGGTTTTAAGTGCCCTTCAGTGATCACACACCCAAGAAGACATGTTTCTACCAACCCCCTGTGCCCTGTCTGAGCAGGAAGGCGGCCTGCAGGGGGCTGGACCTGAGCTCTGAGCTCCTCCTTCGGCTCCTCCCACAGCCAGGCCCTACTGACAGCATGGCTTGAGGGGCTTGGGGGAGTACAGGAAGGATCACAAACCCTCATCCTTTCTCCCATTTCCTACCCCCTCCCTTGGGGCCTGTTCCTCTGCTTGAGGTCCACACCCAGCCTCCAGAGCTGGAAGGACAAGGGTCTGGGACCCACTGTCAATGCTGGAGCCCTAGTGGCACAGTGGTTAAAGCACTGGGCTGCTGACTGCGAAGTTGGCGGTCCAAACCCACCAGCTCGGCTCCTCCAGAGAAAGATGAGGCTGCTTGCTCCTGTGAAGATGTACAGCCTCAGAAACCGCCATACGCAGTCCTGCTCTGTCCTCCGGGGGCTTCCAGGTCCAGCCATCGCGGTTTTTCTTGCTGATTCTGAGCGTAAGTACAACCTGGGCTTAGACCCCTGAGACCGGTGCCCACCTGGCTGCAAGGGGTGTGTCCTCAGGGGACCCAGGGCCATGAGAAGTGCAGTGCTGGCATCTGCAGGGCCTGCCACCTCCAGCTGTGTGCTGTGACAGGCCCTGCCTGCAGTCTGAGGATTTGTGAGCCCCTGGCCGAGTCATGGGCGGAGACAGTTACGAGGTAACATAAGTTGAGAGTAACCTTTCAACAGAACCGTTTGAGTTAAAATAAAGGGATTGAAAAAGAGTACAATGACCAAAAAAATCTATAAAAATGCAATTGCGCTAATATAATTTTATCACTTATTTAAAAATTTAGTCGACCCAAAAGACTACCAAGTGTGAAATTAAGGAACAGCTCCTCTACTTTTATGGAAATCACTCTTCCTCACTTGTCTAATAGCCTGATTTTGTCAGATCATTTATTTCCATGGTTTTAAAATGAGCTTGACAGACAGAATTTTATAACACCACTTTACTGCAAATAAGAACATCATTTTCGCTTATTAAAACTGAAGCTTAGAGAAAGCATTAAAATTAACAGTTCACTCTGCTTTAACCTTTAGAATGCTGCCGTGACTTTACTCTGCAGGCTATGTGTAAGGAAGGCTTCAGACGGGCAGTCGATGGAGGAGACTGGATGGACCATGGTGTCCAGGCCTGCAGGGACACACAGAGGACGCCCACCCAGCTGGAAAGGGCTGTGATGGCCCACTAAGGAACCCCTTCGACCAGTCAGTGGGCAGCACCTGGGGAAAGCCCAGCCCAGGGGAAGCACTTTCAATGTCAGCTATAGCCAAAGGCGAAAAGGGACTGGGTTGGTCTTAGGTCAATTTCCACCCCCACTTGTCTCAGGCGGGTCAGAGCAGAACTCTGCTCCACAGGGGTGTCCTTGGCTGTGAGCCTTCAGCATGGAGCCGTGGTGGCACATTGGTCAAGGCCTCAACTGATAAACCAGAGGTTGATGGTTCGAACCCACCAGCAACCACAGGGAGAAAGATGTGGCACGTTGCACCTGGCAGATCTACTTGGCCTCTGGGGCAACAAGTTTCAGATGTGGGTTTCTTTGATCTTGTAGGGCATTCTTAGGGGCCTCTGGATGAGTTTGGACCCCCACTGTTTCCTTTAGCTGAGGGCTTAGCTGGCTGCACCCTGTGGAGCCAGGGGCCTGCCTTTTACACCCCAGGAGGCCTTGCACGTATAGAAGGCATGGCTGGAAGAGGCTCCTGCCATGATTCCATCGCTATTTGCTGAGTACCTGATGGTGTAGTGGTTATGCCCTACGCTGCTAACTGCAAGGTCAACAGTCCCAAACCACCAGCCGCGCTGGAAAAAAGATGCACTTCCTATTCTGTAGAGAGTGGCTGCCTCAGACACCCACAGAGGCAGTTCGACCCTTCTCATAGGGCCTCTCTGAGTCTGCATTGACTCAATGGCAGTGAGTTCGGTGTTTGGTTTTTCCTCTGCCAGGCACTGTTCTGGGCACTTGAGATAGCACAGTGAGCAAGACCAAGACCCGATCCTTCCACACTTCGCACCTTGCTGGGGAGACATGGAGGGCTTTATGACTGATTAAGTGACACGGGTGGCCAAGAAAGCAAAGCTGGTCCCAGGCTGGAGTCACAAGTGCTGGTTGAAATGAAAGGGCATTTCTGTGTCTTGGGATTTTGTGTAGGAGTTTGCAGGGGGCTTGTCCTGCCCTCAGGGACCATGGTGGTCTGGTGGGTTAAGCACTGGACTGCTAACCACAAGGTCAGTGGCTCAAACCCACCAGCTGCTCCGAGGGAGCAAGATGACCTTATCTGCTTCCCTAATGATTTACAGTCACAGAACCCATAGGACCAGTTCTACTACCACCTGAAGGATCTCCTCTAGGGAGTTGGAATGAATTCCATGGCAGTTGCTTATCCTGTCTTGGCCCTTCCTAGTTCCCTGGAGGTGAGACCTAGGTTAAAAGCTTTGCCGGACAGAGCAGGTGGAATCTGCATTTCTGTGCCTAGGAGCTTCGTCCAGAACCCCCGCAAGCCACACTGTCCCCATGGTGAGCCCAACGTGAGCTTCTGTGGCATCACCTGCGACTCATGGGGCCTCAGTCCACGAAATGAAGTGCTGCTCAGTCACCAGCACACCGGGGTCCCTTGCAGCTACGGGGCCAAGCCATCACCATGAGGGTCTCTTCACTGGCCCTCTGCCTCATCAAACTCCAGTGGTGGATCCCTGATGATCCGTCCAAAGCAAGCAAGCCCCACAGTGCTCCGTTGCAGCTCTTCGGGCTTTAACTGGATAACTCCAAGGGGTGAGTACAGCGGTACTTCTGTTGCTGAACTCAATGAGTCCCAAATACGTGTTCGAAAACTGAAAAGTTTGAGAACTGAGCATATGTTTTCCATAAGAAATCATAGAAAACCACATACTTGGTTCTAAGGACCAAAAATTGTACTTATAACTTCATTGTCCCAGGACCTGAACACCAAGTTAACAGCCCTAGATTGTGGAAATACCCCCTGAAACATCGAAACACAGTAAGTACAGTACATTAAACACAAAAGCACAATGCAGTAAATAAAATGTTTTAAAACAGTACAGGGACTTTACCTTGAATTGGAGGCTTCCTGGCACCCCAGGAGCTGGAGAGGAATTGGAGGAGGAGGAGGAGGAGCAAAGGGATTTTTTAGAAGGGAAGTCTCCTTCCATGAGGACTGCTGGCAGTGCACTCCCGGGGGACTTTTCTCTTGGCCCGTTTTCACCTTTGCTCCCTTACCCCTTGGTCTGGGTTCTTGGTTTCCTGGTTAATGATTTCACACCTTTTGATACATTAGCCGCTTTAATCACTTTTCTTTCTTTCTTTTTAATGTTGATAATGTCAACTTAGCCATGTTGTAGCCAGCCACCAAATAAGACAAGCGGCCCCCTGATTCAAATCTCTCAATGTTTTCTGTCTTTCTTTAAATCATTTTATTGGGAGCGCTTACAGATATTACAGCAATCCATAATTCATTTAGCTCAAGCATAATTATACAATTGCCGGCACCATAATTTTCAAAACATTCATGCTTTCTTGCTTTTGCTCTCTTGTGGCTCTCACCCTTTCCCACTTCGCTTCACTACAGGTTCCACTCACTTTCTTGGGAGCCGTGGTGACGAGAGTTCACACTACTTGAGCACACACAAAAGCACAATGGTGAATGCTTCCACGTCATAACACAAGCACTTCTTCTAGTCTGAATGAGAGTGGCCTTTGGACTTAAGCTTCAATCCTTAGTGTCTGAGGCAAGAGGTGACAGGTGACTCACTCTTGGCCCATACAGGTCTTTTTTTTTTATCATTTTATTAGGGGCTCATACAACTCTTATCACAACCCATACATACATCAATTGTGTAAAGCATATTTGCACATTCATTGCCCTCATCATTCGCATAACATGTGCTCTCCACCTAAGCCCCTGGCATCAGCTCCTCATTTTTCCCCTCCCTCTCCTCTCCCCCCTTCCTCATGAATCCTTGATAATGTATAAATTATTAGTTTGCCATATCTTGCCCTGTCTGACGTCTCCCCTCACCCACT